TACTTTTTCTTAAACCATTTTGTGTGTAGCAGAAACATACAAAAAAGCAAATCAAATAAAGATATAATTATTATGTCATGGGACTATGGAAGGAAGGTGAATACTAGGGAGACAATTCATTTCTTAATTTTAAGATCTGTTTGCTTTACTCTTTTGTTACTCTTTGCCTTTTTCTAATATTATAGATCATTATCTCATAATCCAGTCTTTCAAGGTAAATGCCCGTAATGTGTTAGCTAACTCCTTTAATTCCACCCCTAAGCCATTATTTTAGTCTGTTCCACCTGTCTCCTCACAGGATAAAATCCTACATAAGATAGTCTTTTTCAAGTTTAGGGGTAAAATATGTGAGGGGTGGAGAAGAAACACAGTTTATTCTCATGCCTAGGAAGTAATGCATTTATTTTTACATTTATATTCAGTAAAATATAATTTTTTTGATGTACCATCTTATGAATTTTGTACATTTATAGATTCACATAACTACCAGCAAAATCAGAATACAGAACAGTTCCTTCACCACAAAAGACTTGCTTGGTGCTGTTCCTTTGTAGTCAAATCCTTCCCTGACCCTTAACTTTAACCCAGCAATCACATGACTGTCTTCTTTCCCTATAGTTTTGGTTTTTTCCCAGAATGTCCAACGAATGAATCTATATAGTGTGTAACCTTTTGAGACTGGCTTCTTTTGCATAATGCATTGGAACCTATACAAGTTGCTGTGTCTTTTTATTGCTGACAATTATTTCATTGTTTATATGTGCCAGAGTTTGTTGTCCTTTCATTCACTGAGGGTCATTTGAGTTTTTAGTTTTCACTGATTATGAATAAAGCTGCTGTAAATCTTTCTATACAGGGTTTTTGGGGAGAATAAGTTTTCATTTATCTAGATTAAACAGGAGTGAAATAGCTGTGTCATATGGCATAAGTGTATGTTTTGCTTCATAAGAAGCTGCCAGACTTTTCCAGAGTGGCTATACCATTTCTCATTCTCTTTTTTTTCTTTTCTTTTTTTTATCTCTTTACCATTTCTCATTCTCATCAGCTATTTGTGAGTTGCAGTTGCTCCTCATGTTCACTAGTACTTGGCATTGTCAGCTTTCTTTTCCTTTTTTAATTGATCCATTTTAATAGGTGCATAGTGAGTAATGCTTTTAAAAAAAAAAAAAATTAAAGCTATTCTGATAACTTTTTAGCCAGCAGTGACGTTTTATTTTATTTATTTATTTATTTATTTTTGAGACAGAGTTTCGCTCTTGTTACCCAGGCTGGAGTGCAATGGCACAATCTCGGCTCACCGCAACCTCCGCCTCCTGGGTTCAAGCAATTCTCCTGCCTCAGCCTCCTGAGTAGCTGGGACTACAGGTGTGCACCACCATGCCCGGCTAATTTTTTGTATTTTTAGTAGAGACGGGGTTTCACCTTCTTAACCAAGATGGTCTCGATCTCTTGACCTCGTGATCCACCCGCCTTGGCCTCCAAAAGTGCTGGGATTACAGGCGTGAGCCACTGCGCCCGGCCCCGACATTTTATTTTTTTTTATGTTTTTTTTTTTTTTTAACTGCTTTTAGTCTACCCTGTCTGATAGCATATTTTGAAATCTGTTCCTTCAAGCAAAAGTTTTAGAATAAGTATTACTTTTAGAAAACCATAAAACAAATCTAATTCAATAACTGTTTTCTATGGACCAGGCAACATATTAGGTGTTAGTAGTACAAGAGATAGGACATTTGACTTTGAGGCCCTCAGGTGTAATAAAGAGAAAAAATAAAACACATATATTAGAATTGGAGCACTATGTGATAAGTACCATAATAGAGAAATGTTTAAGGCAATGGAACCAAGAGTATGTAACGTTTGTTGGTCAAACGGAATTTAAAGATTAAGATATATTGGGTTTTTAGGAAGGAAAAGGCATTTTAGATAGATTAGCATATGTGTAAGCAAAGATGTGTATAAGTAAAGATATGTAAAACAATAAGCAGCCTGGTTTAGCTAGAGGATACAGAGCATATGAGAGTGTGAGGCTTGGTGCTTTCTGTCAGTTTCTCCTATAAACCACTATAGAGTTTTAAGGTATGTTTGCGCTTGGGGGGTCAGCAAGGGATGGTGGTAGTAGTAATGATGGTATAACATGATTAGATTTGCATCTTAATAATATCATCTGGGAGTTAGCATGAATGATTTTTAAATGGGCAGTTGAAACCAGAGTTAAGGAGAACAAATAGTTTAAGAAACTATTTTAGTAGAGTTGATGAGGGTTAAAGGTAGAAATGATGGGAATGGGACAGATGCATGTAGGAGGAGGGAAGAGTTGAGTGGGCAGTGTCTGATGAAGGAGAGAAGACATTAATTTGAAAGATATTTCCTTTACGGGAACATGGATGGACCTGGAGGCCATTATCCTCAGCAAACTAATGCAGGAACAGAAATCAAAAACTCCGTGTTCTCACTTTTATAAGTGGGAGCTAAATTATGAGAACACATAGACACATGGAGGAGAACAACACACAGTGGGGCCTGGCAGAGGTTACAGACAGGAGAGAGAGAGTGTCAAGAAGAAGAACTAATGGATGCTGGGCTTAATATGTAGGTGATATAATGATCTGTGCAGCAAACCACCATGGCACACATTTAGCTGTGTAACAAACCTGCACATCTTGCACATATACACCTGAACTTTAAAAAAAAGACAAAAAATGTTTTAAATATGACAATAAAAAAGATATCTTCAAGTTCTAACCCTCAATACCTCAGAATGTGATGTTGTTTGGAAATAGGATTATTGCAAATGTAATCAGATAAGATATGACAGCTGTCCTTGTAAGATCACATGAAGACAGAGGGTAAAACCATAAGAAAAAAAAAAAAGAAAAGAAAAAGAAATGGTGCAGCTATAAGCCAAGGAAAGGAAACCACTAGAAGCTAGAAAGAGATAGGGAAGAATTCTCATAAAAGCTTCAGAGGGGCCGGGCGCGGTGGCTCAAGCCTGTAATCCCAGCACTTTGGGAGGCCGAGGCGGGTGGATCACGAGGTCAAGAGATCGAGAACATCCTGGTCAACATGGTGAAATCCTGTCTCTACTAAAAACACAAAAAAATTAGCTGGGCATGGTGGCACGTGCCTATAATCCCAGCTACTCAGGAGGCTGAGGCAGGAGAATTGCCTGAACCCAGGAGGCAAAGGTTGCGGTGAGCCGAGATCGCGCCATTGCACTCCAGCCTGGGTAACAAGAGCGAAACTCAGTCTCAAAAAAAAAAAAAAAAGCTTCAGAGGGAGGTGGGCCCTGGTGACACCTTGATTTTGGACTTTTAGGATTCATAACTGTGAGATAAGAAATAAAGTACCCAGTGTGTGGTACTTTGTTATGACAACTCTAGGAAACTAATGCAGAAGGGAAGAGTTCAGTATGATTGTGGGTGATGGTGGAGTGATCATGTTGAGAAATAGGAAAGTAATCAGAATTCCAGTAGGAAGAAATTCCTGAAACTTAGATGCTGCTTATTGCCTACTGTTTACAATAGGTATGAGCTATGGTCAATAAAAGTGAAGACTAGATCAAATTTATTAATTTGCTTAGAGTTGAAGACATATGAATAGAAGGATGGAAAAAAAGGATGGAAATTAGAGAATAAATGTAAAAAGATGTGCTAAGATATTTTGCCTGACAAATCACTTCATCTGGATCAGCAATCTAGTGTTTCTTTAAAGGTAGCTTTTAGGCTTTCTTTATATTAACTGATTTTTAACCAAAATATACAGCTATTTTACTTTTTCTAGTAAAGGAAATATTCATATGAAAAACCTGTGTATGATATGTACTTCTATATTTAAAATATGCTCAGTTATAAACATTTTAATAAAGTATGTAAATAAACATTTCTATAATTCAATCTTAAAATGTATTTTTACTTCACCCAAATGAAAGTGAAGGGCAAGAAAAAGCAAGTAATCTGGTTATATTGCTCCATGTCTTTGCTACTTTACTATTTACATTCTGTTCTTTAGAAACTGTAATAATAATATTCACACAGTTTATGTTAGTATAGGACCAGAGTGAACACTCTATGAGTTGTCACGCTTTGATAGTACCCAGTCTGTGAATGGACAGTGGAAACTGCTACTATCTGCCATAATTTGCGAAGACAGGTCCTAAAATATATAGTGAAAAGATGGGAACAGGTGCTCATTGTCAAGAACTGTGACAAGTCTGGTATTTTTACCCTAACTGCAAGCAAGCAGTTTAGCCTGCCATCTCTTCATGCTTGCTGTCAGAGGCCAAGAAACTCCTGGTTAGAAACAAAGGATTTTATTACTAATGGCATTAGCAAGTAGCATAAGATTCATGCTTGTGTAAATTCCACTTAGATCCACCCTCCAAGATAACGGAGTGGTCCAAGTAGATGTGGACACAGTAGATTTGTGTCACAGCTGAGGGGCTCAGAGCTCTGTTTTTTTAGGGAAGTTTTTTCGTGATGAAAGAACATACAGTATTAACCTATATTTGCATTTTAATGTAATTTGGATCGAAATAGTTCATTTTTCTTTGTGTAAAATGCATATAATTTATTCCATTCTGTAGAAGGTAGTAGGCAGAGTCACGTATTGATTAAAAAGTTATCCAGTTAAGATGTTGTGTGAAAATATATTTTCTGGCACTGTTCTTTTTTTTCCGAGACGGAGTTTCGTAGTTTTGCTCTTGTTACCCAGGCTGGAGTGCAATGGCGCAATCTCGGCTCAACGCAACGTCCGCCTGCTGGGTTCAGGCAATTCTCCTGCCTCAGCCTCCTGAGTAGCTGGGATTACAGGCACGCACCACCAGGCCCAGCTAATTTTTTGTATTTTTAGTAGAGACAGGGTATCACCATGTTGATCAGGATGGTCTCGATCTCTTGACCTCATGATCCACCCGCCTCGGCCTCCCAAAGTGCTGGGATTACAGGTGTGAACCACCGGCCTGAAAATATATTTTCTAAATGAATGTTCAATACAATAAAAACTTACTTGAAGTTAATTTTTATTAACTTCTAAGCCATACTTTGGTAAGCATTGTTAAGGAACTTAGGACATTGATGTGTGTTAGATTTCTAAATTCAGATAGTTCTGTAGACGAGCAGGAATTAGAAGTGAAAGTATTCCATTTGGGAGCATATTGTTGGTTAATAGTTGATTCCTGATGGTTATTCTGCAAAGATGTAATAGTTCACATGGATCTTTGTATCTTGTTGAAGGAATGTAATCAAACCAATTTGAAATAATTGGACGTCTTCCTAAACTCAGCTGTGTCTGAAGAAAAGCAAAATATTTTACTTTTGTAATGTTTTGTAATTTGGATTAGTCTAAATTATTAACACTTATTTTTAATTTAAATTTAGAAAATAGATTATAAATTTATAAAACCCTTATAACTTTTTTCCAAAGTATTTTTACTTGAGGCAAGTATTTTATTTCCATTTTTTTCACAAGGATAAACTTTAAATAATCTGTATGTCTAAGGACACAAGGCAAAAATTTTTTACGACTATGAATCTGAACAAGTTTTTAATTTTAGTTGGATTGTACTTACATTTTATCAACTTCTTCCTGTAGAGTAGTTATGGTCGACTTAGCCACATAGTAGAATTATCTGTGAAACTATAAAAAACTAGTGCTCAGGCCCTACTCCACAAATTCTGATTCAACTAGTCTGGGATTGGATGCAGACAATGTAAGTCCTAAAGGTTTCCCAGGAGATATCCATTGTAGAATAAGGTTTCTATTGTAAAGTTTCACATATAAGAAGACCCGGGAGGCCTGTCCAAATGAAAAGTTGTCTTTTTTTTTTTTTCCCCATAGAGACGAGGTCTCACTGTGTTGCCCAGGCTGGTCTCAAAATTCTGGGCTCAAGTGATCCTCCTACCTTGGCCTCCCGAAGTGCTGGGATTACAGGTGTGAGCCACCACGCCTGGCCTAAAGATGTCTCTTTTAAAGGTTTAGAAAGGCATCTTTTAAAATGAATCTTACAGGTCAAATGTCAACAGATTGACTTAGGAGGAAAAGACATTGCTGTATTACAGAAATATTCTCCACTAGAACATATACTCCACAGGTTACATGACACTATTTCTTATCTAATTATATTACATATATAATGCATTCATTATTTATTCAATTATTTAACTATTAAAGAATATATACTTAACATTGTGGTAAGTGCTTGGGATAATTGCTAGGGCAGGTAAAATAGACATAGCCTCTGTGCTTGCAAGACTCGTGATGTAGAGGTAGAAATATCTAAACATACACTTACAACAGAAAATATGTGCTGTGATAGGGAAAACTACTGGGAAGTGTGGAAATGCAGAACAGAGGTATTTAAAGTGTTTTTTACGCAGTTTTAATGCTACTCTTTATCTTCTTGCTCAATGCTATTTTACTTTATTAAACTGCAATTGATTGGAACTCAGCTATAATTTTTTTGCCACTTAGGCAGGTGATTTTGGTCAACTCACTCTATGCTAGTGCTTTTCTACCGGGGTTGTATCTCAGGAATAGCATTCATGGAACTTGCTGAGAATTTGTATGTTATGTAACAATTGTGCAGGACTAATACTGGACCAAGGACAAGCAAGTTTCTGAAAATGAAAAAAAATTATTTTTGTTTTAAAAATGGGTTGCCAAAATAATTTGATAAATTGGCTTTGCTTATAGTTGGCCCAAGCATTCTTTTAAAGGTTTAGAAAGGCATCTTTCATTGCTGAGGCATTAAAGAAAAAAAAAATAGTACAGTTATATCTTTTATGAGTTTATTTCTGAAATCACATCCTTAAAGGATAGGGGAACTGCTGGATTCCTTGATAATTTGACTTATTTCTTGCTACTGATGGAAATAATTTGATTTGATGCTGACGCTGGCAGTTCATTTTGACAGGGGAGCATATCTTATATGCTGTTAATTGTTTTCTCTACATTTGGTGTATTCCAGAAACCTTACCAAGGAGATCATCACATTTCTGAGGGTTAGATATTTTCAGTTGAACAAATAATTTAAGCCTTTATTTATATTTTTATAATGCTTGACATTGCTTTGAGAACTTGAATGCAAAATCTGTTTTTTGACATATGATTGTATTTGTGGGGAGAAATGTAACCCTCATTTTGAAATATTCAACTAGAAAGGAGGTCTGTTAAATTTTTTTGATTTTGTTGTTAAAGGACAGAGAAATATTAAACAGTTTAAAAAATATCATTAGGATATAATATATATCTACTTAATACTAAAATACATATAACTTAAAATTCTTTCATATTTCTAAAAACAAAGAAGTAAAGAACTGTTTGAGATTTTCCCTATTATTTTTATTAATAGGCATATACTCAGTGATCTGTCACTGGATGTAATCTATAAATTAAAAATTAACAATTATTTCCTTTACAGTTGAATCTTAAGATTCACCGATATTTGAACCTTTTCCCCCACTTAAAAGCAGTATTTTGCTTACCTCTATTTCCTTGACTGAAATGACAGAAAGCACTCTGGAACATAGTACCAAACATGTTTTGGCATCTTCGTGGATGTCAGCCAATTCACGATCAACCATTACTCTCACTCTTGAAGGGTAGAGTACTATTGTTAAGACAATGTTGATAGGGTTTTTTTCTCTTTCTAAGATTCCATATTGCAGTAATATTTTAAAGATATTAGACTGTCTTGTCTGAGCTACGTAAAGGAGAGGTGTGATGCCACTTAATGGGCTTGGACAGTATACTGGTGTGAAAGTTCTGTGAATTAAACAAAACAAAACTCACTGGATATAGAATTAAGAAATGTGACAAACACTTTGTATTACTAGTAATGGAAAAATAATAGTATTATCTTAAATGTTAAATATCTTAAATGTAACTTTATATATTACTTAAAAAATTTTTTTCACTCTATGAATCTAGGTCAAACTGAAGGTTAAAAGAAAACTCCTACCAAACACTTAAACCCCCTTTACAGTTGTAAAAATAAGCAAAGCCAGTTTATCATATATGTAAAGTGTTTACTTTTAGTCATAGCAATTCTAGTTGAGAAATCTATACTGCTTAGGACAGTATTTCAAATTTGAGGTAGCTCTGGAAAAAATAAAATGGAAAAGAAGGACAGACCTTTTCGATTTGACTTTATTAAATAGAAAAGAATGTGATCATTGGCATATCTTTTTGTTTTTGTTCTTCTTGATCATATATCAGATATGAGCTTTAATTGAGTTTGGAGATTAGGAAAGGAATAAATGCAACTATTTTTATTCTATGTTTTTCACTTTAATAAAATTAGAATTGGTTGGGCTAAGGAAATGTAAATTATAGTGAGAGCTGTATCACATCCCTCAAGGGTAGAATTTTCTTCTTGAGTAAAAGTTTGAGTCTCCTCTGAAATCTTGTTTTTCCTAGAGTGCCACAGGATGGCTAGAGTTAAAAATTTCCCTTCCCTTATGACAGAAATGAAAATTTTATTTTTTCTAATGGTATATACTTCTTGCAGTTGTTTCGTTTAATAGACTTTTATGCTGTTATGTTGGTCACTGTAATTATTGTTGTGGTGTCCTTGACCACAGGGGATTTTATTAGCAAGCCAAAATTATTAGTAAGCCATAATTTTGCCAAGTAATGTGGTTTTTAGGCTAACAAAAGTGAAATTTTATTAATGATTTTTGTCTGTGGAATTCCCTTGACTGGCCTAATAAAATACGGCAGAAAGCCACACACAGTATAAATACTGATTTTAGACAACTATTCAGAGCAAGGAAAGTCTTATGAAAAAAGGGGAACTTTGGGGACGGGCCCGGTGGCTCAAGCCTGTAATCCCAGCACTTTGGGAGGCTGAGGCGGGCGGATCACAAGGTCAAGAGATCAAGACCATCCTGGCCAACATGGTGAAACCCCGTCTCAGAAAAAAAAAAAAAAGAAAAGAAAAGAAAAGAAAAAAGGGGAACTTTAAGATTGCATGTATAGTACTTAGGTAAAATGGGAGGCAGCATGGTATAATGGTATAAACAACAGAGACAAATGTTCCAGGTTCTAAGTTTTGACTCTTCTAATTGGGCAAGTTGTGTGATCTTTGGCAAGTTGGCCTCTTTACATCTGTTTCCACAAGCATTTATGTACTCATGTGCTCATTCCCTCATTACCTATTTAACACTTGCTTGTCTAGAGTGTACAGAGGAGTAGATACACCGAGATGAAAGATATAGTTCTTGATTATTATTATAATCTAGTAAGGAAAACACAATAAATTGTATAAAAGCAATACAAGGTGACAATCACAATGATAGAAGCATGTTCAGGTACTGTAGTAACACTGAGGAAGGGTACTTAACTCTATCTGAAATGGTCATTTTCTGTAGGTTATCCAGAAACTGATTTGAAAGATTAGCAGGTGTTTTCCAATAAAAAGATTCAAAAGAATGTTTTAGGCACAAGCATAAACCAGCACTGGAGGATTGCTATACCTGAACCAGCTACAGAAAATAAATATTTTGTAATAGATGAACTGTTTTCACACTGTTTTTTGAAGAATCTGACAAAACTAAGAAAAGATAGTTTTTCTGGTTGAGGTCCAAGAGCCCTTACCCCTACTGGGCCTGAATCCAAAAAGTATATAGTTGGAAAGTCACTGGACCAACTAGTTTATGTCCAGAGCTTCACCAAACTCTGATGGCAGGATTTTGTAATTAAAAAAATAGTTTAGTATAGTGCAAAGTAGCATTTTAGAAATCAAGATGTAGGTTTTTGTCGTAACTCTGTCACTGGGACTATACATACACATATATATATATATATATATATATATATATATACACACATATACATATGAATATGGATATGTATTATTTCCTCTCTCTCCTGGAGTCATCTCCAGACCAGTAATGTCCTGGACATCTCATCCTTTCTTTTTATAAATACTTGCAACACATAGAGAACTTCTAAACTACTTCTCTTTCTACATTATCTATCATTGGTATGCAGTTTTCCAAACGACCGCTGCATCCAGGTCTTTCACATGTCTTTACTTTGTATTTATTCTTCTCCCCCACCTTTATTTTTTTCAATTTTGTGATAAATCTAGCTCATCTTTATGAGACCTTGTCTAACAAACTCTTTTGTGAAGTTTTCTTTGATTACCCTGATACACCTCATACTTCTCAGGGCACTTTGTACATAACTACATTAAATTTGTATCATGGCCAGGGGTGGTGGCTCATGCCTGTAATTCCAGCACTGTGGGAGGCTGAGGTGGGCAGATCACCTGAGGTCAGGAGTTTGAGGCCAGCCTGACCAACATGGAGAAACCCCATCTCTATTAAAAATACAAAATTAGCCAGGCATGGTGATGCATGCCTGTAATCCCAGCTACTCTGGAGGCTGAGGCAGGAGAATCACTTGAACTCCGGAGGAGGAGGTTGCATGCATTCTAGGCTAGGCAACAAGAGTGAAACTCCATCTCCAAAATAAATAAATAAATAAATAAATAAATTCGTATCATTTGGAAAACGTATTTAACATCTCTAAACTTTCATTTTCTCATCAAAACAATCTACAAGTGTAAGCTCCCAAAAGACAGTAATTTTCATCTTAATTCACGACTGTATATTTAAGTGCCTAGAACAATGCTGGGCCCACATTAGGCACTCAAATATTTGTTAATTGGAAATTTTTTACTGGAAATTTTGACTATATATATGTGATAGTAAAAAAAATCCTTGAATTTGTCTTGTAGCTTTCAGGCCTAATAAGATTTTTGTTGATGTGCAATTACTTAAACTTTTCAAAGACAATTTAATGTATTCACCTCACTAGTCCTTAAGAAAATATTTGACTTAAGAACCCTGTAAGTATGGGAATTTGAGAGACTTAGGAGACAAAATATACCATAAGTGGTCATTATTAAGATTTAGAGATATTAGTTGATTCTAACATATTAAGATTGACATTACCTTTAGAAGATATTGAATGAATACTAAAAAATGTTGGAAACATGAGTAAAACTCAAATAGATTTAAAATGAGATTTAAAAGTCTAATCTCTACCCAAATGACATTTGATTAATCCTCATGTTTAAAGAGTATGTTACTGTAAACCAGAATTTGCTTAATCTGTACTGACAGTTAATTATAGCAGTACTTATATGGATGAAGTACAGCAAGCAAAGCAAGATTAGTTTTTAAATGTGAGGTTAATGAACTGAACCCTTGGTATCTGAAAACCTGTCATAATGCTTATGAAATGGGGCATAATATTTCCATATAGACATTCAGAGAGTGATTCTGTTTTTTAGCTGTAATTATTTCTAATTTTTTCCCTTCTGATTCTCCATTTCTGAAAAATCTGAAAGATGCTTCTCCATAACAATTTTGTGTGTGTGATATTTCACATAGTTGACTTTCTTAACACTTTGTTTTCCTTTTACTTAGTTGGGCTAGTCTCTCCAAGTAACCCATTTATCTCTTTGGGTATTTCTCCTCAACCATCTTTCACTGGCTTCTCTTCCTCTGCCCTCAACATCCAAGTAAGTATGCATGGCATTTAGACCATTTTTTTGACTATTCCCAGGAAATTTCATTTATGACCGTAACTTCAATTCCTGTCCATTTATTTATTTTAACAAATATTGAATGCATACTATATGCCAGGAACTGTTTTAGGTGCTTGGGTTATATCAGGAAACAAAATAAGTATCCCTACTGTCTTGCTTATATTATAGTGAATGATTAGCAACAATATAGGATAAACATAGTAAACGAGCAAATTTTATATTAGATGTTGATAAGTGCTTGGAAAGAAAAGTAGAGCAGAGTAAGTATGGATATGCTGTGGGTGGGTATAGTTAGGACATTTAAAAATATTAAATAGGATGATAGGAGAGTACATTATTGAAAGATGACATTTGAACAAAGACAAGAAGGAGGTGAGGAAGTTAACCATTTGGATATTTCATGGCCCTGTGGTGGAAGAGTGTGCCTGGATTGAAGGGAGAATAAGGGAACAAGTGTGGCTCAAAGAAGACAGAGGTAATGGGATGCCACATTATTTAGAGCTTTATGGGTCACTGTACAAACGTCCCCTTTTAATCTAAACCAAATGGACGAGTCATTGGATGTTTTGAGTAGAAAAGTAATGTGATCTGCTGTTTGTTGAGAATTTGTTATAGGATAGAAGGAAAGAAATCACTTAGCTTGGAACATAGTAGTGTAGGCTGTATATTATTTGCAGGTAGAACCAACAGATATCCTAATATAGATGTGAGTTGTAAAAGAAACATTAAGGTTGGCACTGTATATCTAGCCATGTACTGCACATCTCTACCTGGATATCCATTAGGCAGTGCAAACTCACATTTCCAAAACTTAGGTTTTTGTAATATTTTATCTTGCTAAGTTTGTGGTATGACCATTTTGGTAGGCTGAATAATGGCCCCTCAGTATGGCAAATATGACTTTGCAGATATGATTAAGATCTTGAGGTGGGAGATTAACTAGGTGGGCCCATGTAATTGCAGGAGTCCTTGTAAGTGCAGAGAATGTTGGAAGCAGAGTCAATGAATAAGATATGATGGCATTATGGTGATAGCTTTGAAGATGAAGAGGCCATCAGCCAAGGAATGTAGATGGCCTCTGAAAGCTGGCAAAGGCAAGGAAACAGATTCTTCCCTATTCTCCATAAGGGATCAGACCTACTAACAATTTGATTTAGCTCTGTAAGACTATTTTGGACTTCTGATCTCCAGAACTATAAGAACTAAACTGTCGATTCGTGTTGTTTTAAGCCACTAAGTTTGTGGCAATTTGTTGCAGGAGCAACAGGAAACTAATGCAATTTTCAACCACTCTCAAAATTTAGAAATCTGAAAATTAACTCTTTTTTCTCTTAGATCCTCCAATTATAATAACTTACTGTGTCTTGTTATTTTGTCTAAAGATCTCTCTCCTTTCTCCCACTGCTATTGTTTCAGTTTAAGGTCTCATTGTAATTTACCTGGACAGTTGTAGTATCAAAGGGCGACCGGAGGTTGGGAGGGATGTTGGCAGAGCAGAATTAGTTCTCCCCTCAAAACTATTATAAATACATGTGTAAATTAAGTACACACACTATGCATGCTATGCAAATTCAGCCTCAGGGATCTTCTCTAATCACCTCCCTTTGAAAAAATTAGATCACTTTCCGCCAACTCTTCCTGCATAGAACATTGTACTTGCAGGGCTTGAGTAGTCTGCTAACTGGTTTCCCTACCCTAGCTGCAGCCTATGTTCCCAAAATCGAGTCTTCAAATGGGGGCTGATGAATCTTTTTTCTACAAGTTGACCTTCACTGGCCAGGCGTTACCTGTGGTATAAATTTCATGTTCCTCAGTCTGGCCTACAAAGTCCTTCATTCTTTCAATTCCAGTGTTCATTTCTCTTACTACCTGATTCCGATCTCACTCTCTAGCTGTTACTAAACTGCTTGTAGTCATTGGATACAACAATGTTGTTTATATCTCCCTTAGTTTCAGTCATCCTCTTTCTATCTAGATTACATGTCTTCAAGGGAACTTGAAGAAAGAAAAACTCTCCATTGTCTTTTAAAAATCAGTTTAAGACATCACCTATTCTAGTGAGCCTTCTCAGAGACCTATTCCTCCCTGTTAAGTTTCTTTCTCTGCTCTTTCTACCTGTACATGCTTCTATTTTTGTATCTATAGAGTAGTTATAATTGCTGTTTACCTTTATGCCTCACTTCTAGTATGTGAGCTCTCTAAAATCAGGAAATATGTCTACTTTGTTTTTGTATCCCCAATAAATAACATAGTGCCTGGCACTGAGAAAATGCTTAATAAATTATTATTGTTATTTGAATGGAATGACATCTTCTCTCTTTAGCCACCTACAATCTGTCACACCATAGAATTTAGATGTTTTTTGCAGGTTTGTGGTGAAAATGAACAAACTTGAATTTCTTTTCCTCATTAATTCTATCTCCTCTCCTCCAGGGAGATATAATAGAGAAATTATCAAATTAGAGTGTAAACAAGGGAGGATGACCAAAGAATGATGTTGTCGAAGTAAAGAACAACAGATAGGAAATTTGTAATGTTCATTATGAGGACATAATAGGTGTGTTCAAATATTTGAGAAGTTTTCATGTAGAAAAGAGTTAGCAGATTGATTTTTATGGCCACAGGGGCAGGGTTGGAGAAGTGCAAGCAGATTTCAGCATACTACGAGAAAGAATGATCAAATAAAACTATTTCAAAATTCACTAATTCAACAAAATCTTAATTGAACAGTTGCTATGTGTATGACATAGTTTCACACACACTATCCGTAAGGATAGTGAGCAAACAAACCAATGAAAAAAGGAACAACAGTAAATAAACAGGTCAGTGATCAGTGGGTGCAGAGAATTAAAGTAAAATACTATAATAATGACTAAGTGGTTTCTTTAGATTGTGTGAGTAGGAAAGGCCTCTTTGAGAAGATGATATTTATACTGTGACCTAGCTGATGAGGAGGAAGATCCAAGTGAACAGATTTTTCAGGCAGAGGGAACAGTGTTTTGAGGCCTTACAGGTAGGAATGAACTTGGAAAAACAAGGACCCCCAAGGCGAAGGAATGGTTTGCCTCAGGAAATAGTTAACTCATTACTACTAGAATCGTTCAAGAAGAGACCAATGAGCATCAACCAGTGATGCCCTACAGAGGGTTGCTGTCCAGAGTAAAGGTCTGCTAATGAATTCTTAGGCTCCATCGAAATTTAAAATTCTGTGATTCTGAAAGGTCCAAATGATGTTGTGATCAGTAGAACTGGCCTGTAATGGGTTTTACCTTGTGGATGCATCTAAATTGAAATTTATTAATTTTAAACCTGTCTTAAGATGGTTATTAATGGCACTCTATCATGTTCTATGATGTTTCTCTTTGTTTCATTTTCATTCTAGCTTTCCTCTCTGTGCTTCCTTTTTTAATTTGTAAAAATGTATCTCTATCCCTCTGTTTGACTCCATTTTTGTTTCTAATGGGACGTTCAGGGTTATAGACAGACACTGCTTAGCCCAGCTAGTGACAGTCAGCTTTAGAAGCTTTGCCGATCTCTTCTGTAGTTACAAATATAATAGTTGCTTAAAACACAAAGTACTATTCGGTGGTTTTGTTTACTGTTGTTTCCAAACCACAGCTGTCAGTTCATGTACTTTAGTAATCATTAAGAAATCCAGTGGTTCTGCAATACCATAGTGATGCACAAACAAGAAAAAACTCTGCTTTAGGTAGAACCTAAATTGATTTAGTCTTTAACTGATTTTGTCACTTTTGTTTTTCATTGCATACATGCATCTATCATTGCACCTAATGCGGTGCTGCATACATAGTAAGGTGATCAAGAAATACTTTGCTGAATGAATGAGCACATGTGTGTTTGCTTTATTCAGATAAACATCCTAAAATCAAAGAATAAATTAAAGTTAGTGCAAACTAGGTTACTTTAGAATCTATTTTACAGGCTCTATCAAGATGATACATTGGAGATTTTATTTTCATGAGATCCTCAGTAGTATGTATTAGGTCGGTTGATATGTGAAGACTATAAAAATTCGGCTCTATAATAAATAGCATCAGGTACTTGACCTTCATTGTGCTCAAATTTAGAGAATTTGGGGTCCAATTTATCAATGTTTAACACAAATAGGGAATTGCTGTGTTTAATAAGCATTACTCTGTGAAGATGTGTGCATATTCCCAACTGTACTTTGAAAGTCAGCTTATAAATATATATAAATATAAAACCTCAGGATTCTCAGAAATAGGAAATCATAGTATTACATAATGAAGTGTCTTTGTTTAGAGAAACTTGTTGTTTAGCACTACAGAATCACTAATGATTCATAGGTATATAATAATGTACATATAGGTATAAATGAAGTACATGAAGAGTAAAGGAGTGAATAAATGGTCAAGCAATTAGGTGAGAATTCCTTATTTCACATATAGCCACTATTCATATTAATTTTAGAAAAAAAGAAGCACTCCACTCCCCTAAAGATAAATTTTCTTATTCTATAGTGAAAACATGTGAGATTATTACCTCCATATCAGTGCCAGGTTACAGCTTCTGTCTTGAACATAGTCTTTTGTCTTCTTGAGAAGCAATTCCACAAAGTCAGGATTACCTTTTCTGGCAAAAACCCAGTACAGAATTGTATTCACACATATTTCAGTAAAGTCGAGGTTAAAACTTACTTCAAAACGGTATCCTGATTTTTCCACAAATGCAATGTAATCTGTGAGTAGTGCGTCAAAACCATCCAAATCCACATACCTCAGAATTTTTGCCAGTGACCTGTAAATCCTAGGTTCATAACAGTGATATCCCCACTGACCCAAAAACTGCAAAGAGGGTCTTTTAACAATTTTGTCAAGGAGATTACAGAATATATTGCTTCTTGGACAAGAAGTCTTACGACATAATTTTGTCGATTTACTCATTGTTACTTATAGCAGCGGTGTAGAAATAAAATCAGAGGTAAGCATACTGTAATCCTCCAGTTACATAGTTTGATAATGTGTATCAAACTATGGCTTTACTCCACAAACAGAAGTGCCCTTTAAACTGTAACCAGGAAAAATATGTGAGATATTACCATAAAGTAATGGATGACATCACAATAGGTGGAGATTTGTCACCAGCATAGGTCAGAGATTGGAGATATTATATGTAACTAGTGACATTTGAAAGAGACATGTTGGACAGAAATGGCATGCATGAAAGCTAAGATAATATATTTAATTTTCTAAGAATTCAATTCAAGGTAGCTGGCATATTTCTTCAGTTCTGCATGTTTCTGCAGTAGGCTAAATAATAGTAATAAACAGATTAATTATCCGTTGTGGACATTGTATAAGCAGAAAATGATTGCTAGACTGAATAAATTCAAGTGTTGTTCACATGTTCTGCATGAATACTGTATGCTCTCACTTAATCATCATTGACTATTTTCCCCTATCTTATAGTTGAGGAAATTGAGGCTTCATGGGTAGTTTTTGTTGTTTTTGGTTTTTGTTTTCTGAGCAGAGTCTCAGTCTGTCACCCAAGCTGGAGTACAGTGGTATGATCATGGCTCACTGTGGCCTTGACCTCCTGGGCTCAAGCGACTCTCCCACATTTTTCTCAAGTAACTGGGACTACAGGCATGCAATGCGATGCCCAGCTAATTTTCACATTTTTTGTAGAGACAGAGTTATGCCATTTTGGCCATTCTGGTCTTTCACTCCCAAGCTCAAGTAATCTGCCTGCCTCAGCCTCCCAAAGTGCTAGAATTACAGGCTTGAGGCCCTTGCCTGACTGAGGCATACATAGGTAAGGTAACTTGCCAGCATATTCATCTAAGTAACCCATTTATTTTATTTAAGAGAAGGGATGTCATACAATATTAACCAAAATTTAAAGACTTTGTTTTAGTATTTTAAATTTTAGAGAAATTATTCCTCTATAAACCAGGCAGAATGTATACAATTTAGGCATGAAAGGTACTTCAAGCTTGATATGGTGTCCTTGCCCCCGTACAATAAAGGGGAAATATGTTATGGTTGTTTTTATCATTATTCTGTAGTTAATTTTTCAGCCATCTTTTTATACCATTCACAGAGTGATCAGAGTTAACAACTTTGGGTATATATATCAGCATTTCTAAAGGTAATTAAATATTTTCTTTTTTCTTTCCATCTTTTTCTTTCAATCATATGAATGATGTCTCTTTAGTAAGAAAAATTATAACTTTAGATTTACTATACTTCCATTAATACTGCATTTTATTTTGTAAACTCTAAACTGTCTTTTCCCAGCTGGACAACCTAATTAAACTAACTACATATTGTCATCTTTCTGAAAAGCAAGTTTTGTTGTTTTCTTTCACTTTTTCTGTTCTAATTTTTTTGCCTCAAAAATATTTTGTAAATTAAACTATTTTATTAATTTCTTAATATAATACATAAAACTTATAAAAAGTAGAAACATTATAGAGCCAGTAAAAATTCCTCCCTTAGGTAATCATGCTAGCAGTTTTATGTATACCCTTTCAAACATATTTTTGCTTATGTGTATATAAAATTTTGTCATTTTTTAAAAAATAATACCTAATCTGAATTTTTTTTGGTCATTTTTATACAAATAGGATGACATTATACATATCTTCCTTTATGAGTTACTTTTTATTTCTATAACAATGTATTATTATTACCTTTGTATGACCATATATGGTCATGCATGCTAACTCTGTGTACTACTTGTTACATATCAGGTACTGTTTTAAGTGCTTTATATATTAACTCTTTTAATTCTTACAACAACTTCACAGATAAGGAAGCTGAGATACAGAGCTTAAGTGTCTTGCCCAAGATCATTTGTCTAATAAGTGGTAAAGCTGGAATTTGAATCCAAGGAGAATGGGGCTAGAGACTTTCTCTCTACTTTCACCTGATTCTTCAAAGAGAGCTACCTTTCCTTTTTTATGGCTAGTTGATGAAGACTAGTCATGAAATAAGAGCTCTACAATTATATGTCAAAAAGCAGAAGATAGTAGGTTAATCCTGCTTTTGGAAAAAAGTGTTTAGAATATCCATTAAAGTAATACTAATGTAAATCTGTGAATATGAAAACTTGAGTGATTCTTTTCTCCTTTTTATTTATACTTTCTTGATAATTTGAATATCAGTGTGTATTTTTTGCAGTTATGAGAAACAAGGCATGCTCACTTTGGAAATAATAACCACAACATAGTAAGTCAAAACTGTTGCTGTATTAGTTCTTTAAAATTTTTAAAAAGTTGGCCAGGTATGGTGGCTTATGCCTATAATCCCAGCATTTTGGGAGGCCAAGGCAGGTGGATCACTTGAGGTCAGGAGTTCAAGAACAGCCTGGCCAACATGGTGAAACCCATCTCTACTAAAAATACAAAATTAGCCGGGTGTGGTAGCATGTACCTGTAATCCCAGCTACTTGGGAGGCTGAGGCAGGAGAATGGCTTGAAGATAGGATGCGGAGGTTGCAGTGAGCCAACATTGTGCCATTGCCCTCCAGCCTGGGTGACAGAGTGAGTGAGACTCTGTCTCAAAAAAAAAATTTTTTTTTAAGTGATTTTCACTGCTAATATGCCAAGTCTGTCCTGCAGACTCTGGCCAAGCGACAGATGAATGGAGTACACAGACACAGACTTGCCTGTCAGCGCAACTAGGGCACTCCTGCCAGAGTCAGCAGCAGCCTCCATAAGTGATAAGCCAGTGAGGCTCACATTTATTTAACAAATTTAAGGCCTAGAGCAAACATCATTTGTGCGTAATTGACATTGTCGACCTCCCAAGTAGGGAGCAGTCCTGTGCATGATGATCAAAGGGTGGTTTCCAGAGAAATAGGTTAACAAACTTATCTAGATAAATTCCTTTGCACCCCCTTGTTATCTGCCCTATGCTATTAGCTCAAGGTAAGAGGATTAGTCTGCCTTCAGCCATAACCCTTTCCCAAAACTTTTGCAAAATCTCCCAGCCTTCCAAGAAGGATCATAATTTTTCTATAATTTTTCCCACCACCCTGACTGATCTCCTACATCTCCCCAGTTTCTGTTTTTTGATAAGGTTTTGTAGATTGAAGAGTACAGATGTGTGCAGCAACAGGTTTGTCAAGCACTGTGGTTATAAGTTGTGTTCCAGCTTTGCATTCTAGAGTTAGTAAATAACATCAGACAAACATGAGTATAATCAGTAACATTCTTTTCCAATCAAGGAGTGACATGTAGTGTTACTTGGCACCTCAGTCCAAAGTGTGCCATTAATGAGGGACCCCACCAGGGATATATTAATCCTTTCTAGCCAAGCAATCACATCGTTAGAGGCTAGGAAGGGAGTGTCTGCCTAAGTAAGAAGCAGAAAAAAGACAGATTTAGAAGACAGGCTCAATAGAGTGTAGCAGGTACAGATTGCAGGCAGAGTGAGAGAATAAACAAGGAAAAAATTATCTGGACTGAATGATGTTTGGAGCAGGATTTGCTCAGCCTCCTGAGTTGTTTTTTTCGGCATTTCCCAGGTAATGTCCAGGGCTTGTTTCAACCAAGGAGGTTGTGACATACGGGGCTGTGGGTCCTGCAGGGTCATTTTTAAATTTCTGATACTGAGTTGGGTCCTAGCCATGCCATGGTTTGGTTTGATGTGTTGTGCGGGAATCCAAAGAGGACCTGAGGGGCTGTGAACACAAGCATATCCTCTTCCCCATGTGAGCAAATCATTTGGACCACACCATACATTACTGTTCACATCTTTCCGTAAAACTGTGGGTTTTATGTCTTAAGAGGTTTTAGCAAAGTGCTTTTCTATAGCTGATTGAAATTTGCCATTTAAATTAAAAAAATTAAGGATAAATAAAGCTTGTGCTAGTAGTGTTGCAGGTTCCTTACTCATATTTCCCCTTTTTCGTTTTCTGAGCATATTTAACTACTTTTATAGGCAAAACTACAGGAGTATGAAATAAAAACTGAAGTAGTTTGTCAGCACGAAGGGCATGTTCTATATGGCCTGTATAACCAGAGAGTGTTATCTGAAGATCTAGATATAGGGGCAATACTGCTTCAAACTGCTTTTTACTCAGAGGAATTTTTATGACATCAGGGTCATAAGCCAGCAACAGATTGCATTGTCTGTGGCCCATATAGATGACTTTACTAACTAGCTGGATATAGGGAGACAGTGTTTTAGTTGAGGTATGTGAGCAAAAAAAACCATTGTAGGAAGGACAGCCTTGGGGCCATCTGTCCTGTTAATCCTCTTGAGGAATGTTTTGTAGGAAAAACAAAAAATTGAATTGAATATTTTGGGTCTGTGCAATCTAGTTGCCTCTGAGAAATAGCTTGTTCTGTTTTCTCAATTTCCCTTTTTTGCTGGAGAGGTTAAATACTTGGGAGAATCTAGAGTTTTATTGCCCTTTCCGATAGAAAACAGGTTTTGCAGTTTATCAGTAGTTCTGCCCAAGGTGGAGCAAAGCCAGTTAATATCTCTCCGTAATTTTCAATAAACATTTAAAGTACGTTAGTTGCTAGTATTTAATTTAACCTTCTGGGGTATTACTGACTGAGAATTTAGTATGTCCAAGATATTTTGAAGGAGAGGACATTTGTGATTTTTCAGGTGCTATGGTTAAACCTGTTAAGTCTGCATTCCTCTGGACAGAGGCATATCAACCTAAAATACTGGCTCTAATGGGGCTGCTAATAAAATGTCATCCATAAAATGAATAATCTTACAATTAGAAGATTATTTTCTACTGGTGAGCAAAACCTGATTTACTGATACTGACACATGGTAGGACTGTTCAGTATTCCTTGAGGTAGCATTCCTTGAGGAAGCACTTTCCAGTGAAATCAGCAAGCTGGCCTTTATTGATAAATGGTATTGTAAACACAAATTTTTCTCTGTCCTGTTCTGCAAGGGGAATAGTACAAAAGCAGTCTTTTGGCCGGGCGCGGTGGTTTAAGCCTGTAATCCCAGCACTTTGGGAGGCCGAGACGGGTGGATCACGAGGTCAAGAGATCGAGACCATCCTGGTCAACATGGTGAAATCCTGTCTCTACTAAAAATACAAAAAAATTAGCTGGGCA